ATTTATTGTGTGTGTGTGTGTGTGTGTGTGTATATATACACACACTATATATATATATATATATATATATATATATATATATTAATAATGTATTTTATATATTAATACACATAATATTTTATATATTATTTATATGTATTTGACAAATGTTTAAAATACTTGACAAACAAAATGACCTCATCTATTCACTCTAGAAACACCCTTGCCGAAACCGTGTTGCTTGTTATTTTACAAACTATTGACTTCAATGGAGCTACACTGGTTTACACCTGTTGAGGACCTGGCTCTTATATACTAAAACATAAAACAATGCTGCTAATAACAGTAATCCTTTGCACATATATAGCACCTTTCATCTATGAGCAATAAATAGTTTTACAATGATGGGGAAACTGAATCACAGAGGTTAAGTGTTTTGCCAAGATCACAAGAGTCAGTGGTAGCCTCAGGAATAGAGCCCAAGTTCCCAGCTTCGTAGTCTGTGCTCTCACGGCTAGATCCTGCTTCCTCCTTGTTCTGCTGTCACACAGTTAAGCAGCGATGAATTTTCAGCACTAGCTCACTTTTTCTTTCTGAACCCAAATTTTTCCAGGATATCAATTTACACGGTGTACAACTTCTTTCCATTGTGCTTATTTGAAAGTAACTTGTTAATTCTTACCTGCTGGATTCCAGGACAAGGGTTTATCCATTGCAGAAGCAGCATTGCTCTCCATTCCGAGCGCACTCTCCCTGGTGTCTCTTTGTCTACGGGTAGCAGAACTTAAAAAAAAAAAAAAGTAGGTGGTGGGGTCATATAATAGACAGTAAAGCCATTTTGTTTGTTTACCTCTTTAAAAGCGCATGGCAGTTTGTAATTCACTGTTTTCAAACTCTAGCTCTTTTTTTTTATCAGATGCTACTGTTTGTTGATTGAATTTTACTATGAAAACTCTCTTGCCTGTGCAATCCTTCTATAGCTGTGCTGTCAGTCAAAGATGTGGTGTAAGGTTCTTGTCTTTCAAGCGATTAAGGGTTTTGTTAAATAGATTGCCCCCAACAGATCTTCAGATTGTTCTAACAGACAAGAGGAATGTTTCACATTGAAATACTTCTAAGGAACAGCAGTCAGTCAGATACCAGGATGCCAAGAAAGCAGGATGTGATGTCCAGAACTCCATCATCTAATTATTCTCGCACTTAAAAAAGCCCCCAAACCAAAAATCCCTACACCACTAAGATAGAAGTTGTGAGCTTTTACGCTGTGCTGTTCCTTCTCCTCAAACAAAAAACCACTACATGATGTTGAGGAATGTATGTATAAGTTATTTGTTTTATTTTGGTAGTCTTGATTTCTTCATACATCCTCCTGTTGTTCATTCATCCTCAATCTTCTGTTATTCCACAGCATATGTAGGCAATCTGCTTCCCCAGGCAGTGGAATCAGACTGTTAGATTTTAGTAGATACATTAACTTGTTTGGGATCAGCATGCCTAGCGGGAGCTGATCCTACAGTCCTCACACTGGCAAAACACCCAGTGAAGTCAATAGGAGTTTTGCCTGCAGGAAGAGAGGAGCAGAATATAAACACTGGAAAAATTCTTTAGCAGGACTAGTGGGTTTTTGTTGCTTCTTCATTCTGGTGGATTTCCCACCTACCAGTTTCTCTTTGGATGTGGTAACATCTACTCTATTGCACTACCATTTGCAAAGGTACAATGACACCGCAAGCCATTTTTTTTTTTAAGTCTGTGAGTAGATTAGCAAGTGCTTCTTTTAATTTTGGACAGAAGTAAGTTGTGAGAATGAAAATGTGACTGCTTTCATGTTGCACGCTAATTTATTAACAGCTACAGCGCCCAATCTCATTTGGCTTTGATAATACAAATAATAGATTCCAGTCCTTTATTACTGACAACAATGTCAATAATTAAAGAAAGAGCTCAGACTTTCTTTCCCTGTGTCTTTGTCTTTCTACTCTCAGTACAGTGAAGGTTATGCAAGCAGCTGTGAATCCATAAAGCAACTTAAAGCAACCCTGCTCATCAGCTTTCCCCAAGCCATATTAAAGCCACAATAATGCAACTGCTACATCACACTAAGCTTTATTGGCTCAGCAAAAGAAACTAAGAAACTTCATTGGAGACCAGATTAGGCCGGTTACAAAATGGAGAGATTCTTTTGCTCTCTGACCCCATTATCTTTTCCATAGTATCTTGGTCAGCTTTCTTACACATAGCCATGGATTCTGTGGAGACCTGTAAATTGCTTTTTTGGCTGCCAAATTGCAGTAAACCTTCTATTTTTATGTTTTAAAAGAGCTTAAAACTGTCCATCCTCTTTGGATGTGTCTTTAAAATTGGCCAGTGCTGGGAGGATTTTATATATATATCCAAAGGCTTAGAAGAAGATGTTGCTTCTACTGAGCTGCTAGTTTTATGGTCAACAAATATGAAAAGCCCAGTGGGGATAAAAGGAACTTAACCAGTTCTATCTAATACATATAAATCTACCTAAGAGCTCAGTGCACTAGCAGTACTCAATGCACTACATTTATCTCCGTCTAAAGATGCAGAAAATGGGTCTTTTGCACATATGCCACATGTTCCCTTTCAATGCCAAGTTAATATGAATTAGAAGACTCTGAGATGAGTAAACAAGGTCAGTCTGGGCTCGGCCAAGTTGGATCAACGTAAAGTAATTGTCAGGTTTTTCTGTCGGCAACGACAGTGTGTTTTGGCTCAGCATTCCCCAAACTATACATTATAAAATGTTTTGTAGGGCAGGGCTGCCCAGAAGATTCAGGGGGCCTGGGGAAAAGCAATTTTGGGGGCCCCTTCCATAAAAAAAAGTTGCAATACTATAGAATACTATATTCTTGTGGGGGCCTCTGCAGGGCCTGGGGCAAATTGCCCCACTTGCCCCTCCCTCTGGGCGGCCCTGTTGTAGGAAAGCTGTTGCCAGACACTTTGCTTATTCTCCTTGTTTTGCAAACCCAGACACTTTCCATTAATTACATGTATAACTTTTGTGACAAAGCCAAGGTATTTTTTAAAAAAAAATTATTGAACAATCAAGGTAATTTAATATGTTTAATAATCTCATTTAATCTAGAGGCACTTTGATTAGAATCAAAATAACATAACAGCATAATAACAAAGAGTGCATTTGCTATGCAACAAATAAATCACTAGTACTAATAGTTGATTGTATATCTTCAAAGAGCTTTGCACACATCAAGAAATGTTGGTGGATTAATTAAAGTCAATGACTATTATTACCTCAATTTGACAGACACAAAAACTGATTTGCCCAAGGTCACATATATTTAACCTATCCAGCATTTTTGGTGGATCAGAAACTCACACTGACTTCAGTGGAGTTTTTGACTATTCAGAGAATGAGGCCTATAGTGACAGAAGCAGGATTAGAACTCAGGAGTTCCTGGTTTCTAGTCTCATGATCAGTCTAGTACACCATGCTGTATCTTCTCAGTAGCCTTCAAAAAAGCTTGGTTTATAACAACAAACTTCAAGTATACAAATACTATATAGGTAAAGCACTATGTCTGATTATTTATGAAGTTACAGTATGTTGTGTATAATGTTGTTTGGACACATATTTATAGTATTCTTCTCACCTCTGTGATGTTATCTGGTTAAAATATGACCATATAGCTCATTGTTGCAGCCACTGTTATATATTTGTAACAAATCTTGTACATAACGTGGCATGTAAGATGTCTATGAAAAGGTTATTATTTGCTGGTTAGGATTATGTTATTTGTATGCATGTATAATTTTTGTATTTGAAGTTATGAATATTGGCTCTATTCCTGGATTTCAAATGTTTGCTCCTGGGGTAACGCACATGAGGTAGGTAGCCAGCATATCTTGGAGGGACTATTCTAATTGAGTGGCCCATCAAAAGGACTCTTAACTCACAATTGATCATGGGAGATGCCCATCTACACTGCGTGGATTGTCCTTTAAACATGCTGTCTGAAATATAGGTAATGGCTTCCTGCAATGACTGAGCGAAATAGGGCACGAACATGTGACCTGCCCATGTGACTCCAAACACTATCTGGTCACCTGTGATTCTCCACTACCTCTGCTGAGGGCTTTGTTTTAAAACAGTGGGTGTCCTTCCACATGGCAGAAGAGATAAAAGGCCCTGGAAACTCCTCCATTTTGCCTCTATCCTGCTCCAGCATTCTAACCAGGAGATACTGGGGTTCTGCCAATGATTTGGAAGCAACCAGAGACTTATCAAGCCAGTGGTTTATTCCATCACTGCTACAAGCCTGAACCAAGAACTTTGCAATTACTGTAAGTATCTGATTCCTTTAACCAGTTTTAACTCTTACCTTTCTTTCTTTTTATGATTAAACCTTTAGATTTTAGATACTGAAGGATTGGCATCAGTGTGATTTTTGGGTAAAATCTAAGTTATGTTTTGACCTGAGTGTGTGGCTGGTTCTTTGGGATCAGAAGAACCTTTTAGTTAAGGAGACTGTTTGTAAAGAACCACTCACCTTTAAATCCAGTGTTTTTGGTGGTAATACAAGGACTGGAATGCCCAAGGAAACTGCTTTTATGACTTCTTGTTAGCCAGCGTGGTGAAACAGAAATTAACTTTTGTTGCTGGTTTGGTATATCCTATGAAAGATTAGCCACCAGTCTTGGGGTGTATCTGCCCTATTTCTCAGCAGTTAGTCTTGAGTTTGGCATTCTCAGTTGTGATCCACAGAGGCACAGTTACAACCTCCTCTTAATATTATTTGCAAACTGGCTGCTTCATTGTTAAACGGGCCTTTCGAAAAAGGCTATTAGCAGTGTAAGGAGAAAAAGCAGAAATGCTGCAAAAGTGATGCATTTTCATTTTGTTTCTTTAACTACAAAAGACAATATTCTATTCAAGGAGTGAAGCTGTGGGGAATCATGTTTAAATAATATTGTTCCTTTGAATGTCACACTGACAACAGCCAGGTATTTCAAAGGAATCAATGAAGCTCTGACCTTCCCTCACCTTACTTTGCTTTAACCTCCCACCCCAAAACAAACAAACAAACAAACCAAGAATCAACTCCCTCCCTTCTAAACTCCGCCTAATATTAAAGAGAACATGGTGCAGCCATAGCTTAACGTTTCCTGGATTTTGATTGGGTGTTACAAACTCAAATTAGTTAAACACTTGTTTTCTGAACTTAATATAAAATCTGACGGACTAGTAGAAATATGTACATTTTAAAGCACATAAATAACATTTAGAAAACCTTTGATAAAGTAACATATAGAGTACACACTTTTTGCATTATGCCTTAAATCCACTGGTATTAAAACAATATGCAGCTTATTAGAAAACAGGAACAGTTTGAACAATTTTTTTGTAACCAAATATACTCGGGGGGGAAAAAAACAAAACACAGTCCACAATAATGGAGGAGGACGCAGACTTTACCCTGGGTGCAAGACCATGGACATTGTCTCTACAGCTCACCGGCTGATTCAGCCAGAAATACGCTGGCCTGCAGAAGTCAATATTTTTCTTTTACATAGTGTTAAGTCATGGAGAGGATCAAATAAGTTATCCTGCTCCTACGGACAACAAGGTTAGTGCCTTTCAGAAATGTTTTCATTATTTATATGCATCTGCAGAGTAATTCTGATTAAAAAAAACCCCATTTCACATGTGTACACACACACACACACACACACACACACACAGAGGCCAAAAGAGAGAGAATAATTTGGCTGCAAAATATGTGACATCTAGGAAA